CCCCCGCCAATGGCCTCCCCTGTCTCCCAGGTAAAACACTCTCACCTGATCCTGCCGTGGAAGGGGCAGCGCTTCTTTGGGACGGAGCAGCAAGAGCAGTTCACCCCCAAGTACAGCGGCCCCGTGACTATCTGCGGGGGGAGCTTCCAAGTGAGCAGCGTCCCCCTGGGCACCCTGAAGAAGTACAGCGCCCAGAGGCGTGTGGTCTTTGCAACATAACGTGCCCCCTTCCAGGGGTGGCTTTGAAAGCCCCGCCGTGGAAGGGGCAGCGCTTCTTTGGGACGGAGCAGCAAGAGCAGTTCACCCCCAAGTACAGCGGCCCCGTGACTATCTGCGGGGGGAGCTTCCAAGTGAGCAGCGTCCCCCTGGGCACCCTGAAGAAGTACAGCGCCCAGAGGCGTGTGGTCTTTGCAACATAACGTGCCCCCTTCCAGGGGTGGCTTTGAAAGCCCCCTCGCTCCCTGCCTGCAAATAAACACAGGGGCGAACGGTGTGTGGCATTTTTCCCTCTGCTCTGCCCCCTCTCAGGGTAGGATAGCCCCTGGCTGAGGTCTGTGCCAAACTCAGCTCAGGTATGGAGCAGAGCCGTCGCCGGGACGAACTGGGTCAGCTGGCGACAAACCTGCCTCCGGGTCTGTGTCCAGCCGCCTGCTGAAGTCCCCTTTGCATTGGGAAGGGGGTGATCACGGAGATCCATTGCCCCTTTAACAAATCCCGCTGGGATCAGAGCCCCCTTGCTCACTCAGTCGGCAGGAGAGCAGCCCTACCCTGTCTGAACTGACAAGACTGAGTGACAAAGGAGACAGGCACAGAGGTGTAGGGGCTTGCCAAGGGCATGCAGCACGTCAGTGGCGGAGCTGGGGACTGGCTAGGGTCAGTCTCAAATTCCCAGCCCTGGGCCAGTCCTAGCTGGAGCATGTGCATCCGCCCAGTGCGCGCCCCTTCCTCCGCGGCTCCTGCTGCCACAGGGAACTCATGGGGGCGTGACCGCTGCCACCGTATAGCACCATCCCCTCCAAAGACCCCCAAAGCTGCATGCTTGGGGGACAGGTTAGAGCGGGGGGAGAGAGGCGGGGTGATGGCAGGAAGAGGCTGGGTAACAGACAGCCTGCCAGGAGTCCCAGTCCCGATTGCATAATCACTCCGGCTGAGACTGGCCCGTAGGCTGGGAGTTTGAGACCCGTGGGCTAGCGAAAAAGGACGGTCGTGTGAGTAGGGGCTTGGGACACCCGCGTTCACCTCCCAGCTCTGCTGCAGCCTCCTTGCGTCACGGGGGTAAGTCACTGAATCTGCCCTGTGAGAAGGGGATGATGCTTCCTGCCCCTCCATGGCTAAAATCCATTGGTTGTGAGATGCCCGGGCACGACCATAAGGAGGCCAGACAAGTAGCTCGCTGGAAAACAGGGCCCTGGCCACCAGCCCACAGCCGGGTCTAGCCCCTGTCTACTGCGGATTCTTCTTCCTTCTCTGTGTCTTATGGAAGCAGCGTTTTTTGGTGGCACTCTACCCACACCGATTTTTCTGGGCAGAAGCAGTGTCACGTTGGCAGCTTGGGCCCCCTCACACTGTTATGGTTGGGGGAGCCTCCCTGCTGAGCAGTTACAAACCCAAGCAGTGCTGGTGCCTTCCATGCACCTGCCTGAGTGACCGCTCACCGGCATGCGCACAGGGGTGCGGTCTGGCCTGCGGTATTCATGCCAATAACCCATCCTTCTGCACTGGGTCGTGCAAAGCTGTTGCGCAGGACCCAGGCCTGTGTTCTTTGCTCCCTTTGCTGCGCAGAAACAGGCAATCGGGGGAGCCCATGTGACCGAGAACAAACACTGGGAAACCAGCCCGAAGCTGCAGGGTGATTTCCTTCTCCAGAATCACAGAAACTACGGGAGAGCCTGCGCCTCCAAGTCCCACACGCTGCCTCTCCCCCAGGCTGTGAGCTGACCGGGACATGGGGATGTGTCATCTCTCCGCTGGGTTCAGACAGAGAGATCAAAGGCAGCGGGAGAGATACTGTAAGCGCCAAATGCGGCCTGGTGTCTCCCCAGCATGATCCCTGGCTGCATTTCAGCATAAGGACTTCCTACATGGTCAGTGAACACTAGTGCAGAGAGGAAGCCAAGGCTGGGGAACGGGGTGGCAGGGCTGTTCTCTAAGGCAGTGCTTCCCAATTTTATTTGGCCATGGAACCTTTTAAACTCGAAAAAATTTTTGCGGAATCCTTCATAACAGTCTTATATATGGAGCTGAAAAAAGTAGACCACAAATAATTAAGGATAAGAATAAACAAACGCTAAACAGGGTCATGAGCTCCACACTAGTTTAACTGCACATATATAAAAACAAAAATCACATTTAACGTGTACAAAAAAATGTAAATAATAAAATGTTATTGTAGTGGAATTTTCTCGCAGAACCCTTATTTTCACTTCGCGGAACCCCAGGGTTCCACGGAACACCATTTGGGAAACACTGCTCTAAGGGGACGGGCAGCCTCTCTTCTACTGGGTTGGTAGCTTGCACCGTTTTTGCACTAAAATGGCTCCGCATGAAGATTTTAATGCTGATTCGGTGCTGCACTCTAGGGCTACGTCTAGACTACAGGCTTCTTTCAGAAGAAGCTTTTTTTTTAGAAGAGATCTTCCGAAAAAGAGCATCCGTGCTGCAAAAGTGCATCGAAAAAGCGATCTGCTTTTTTGAATGGACACTCTGTCGCATGTAAGCTGTGATTGCTATGGACAGAATGGCCACCGGGCACGTGTGGTTTTTCCTCTTTCCTCTTCTTCAGAAAGAACTCCCTCTTCCCCATCCACACCCAAAAGAGCTCTTTCGGAAAAAGGCTTCTTCCTCATAGAATGAGGATTACCAATGCTGGGAAAACCCCTCTGTTCTTTCGATTTTCTTGCGGAAAACGCAATTGCAGTGTGGACGTTCAAGTTTTGTTAGAAAAACGGCCGTTTTTCCAACAAAACTCTGTAGTGTAGACATACCCCAGGTCTCCTCTCTGGTGTGCGACTGCAGAGTGAGGGAGCTCAGATACTGCCGTACCAACTCCGGCTCAGGGGCTTTCCACGCAGCAGCATGGAGAAAACAGATGAAAGCATTTCAACCTATTGTAACTCACATGTAGGCAGGACTCGCCACATTACACCTGTTAAAGCCCTGGAGAATCTGGAAGCTGCCCTGTTCCCATTGTCAGCCACAAAGCAAAGCTCTGGTTTTATGCCTGTAGATGTGAATTCCTTAGGAACCCTGCTTCTTATAGGACAGACCAGGGCTGCTGGTCCGAAACAACCTGAACCTAGATCTGTGATGAAAACCTAAGACCAGCTGCCCTGGATTGATGGAGGCTGTGGACGATGTATGGATATTTCCTGCTTACACCGAAGAAGAGACAGCGCCAAGTGTTGCTGTTTCCTGGTATCTCATGTTCAAATGAGGCTAATACTCCGTGGGCTATGTCTAGACTGGCATGATTTTCTGCAAATGCTTTTAACGGAAAAGTTTTTCCATTAAACGCATTTACGGAAAAGAGCATCTAGATTGGCACGGACGCTTTTCCGCAAAAGCACTTTTTGCAGAAAAGCATCCGCGCCAATCTAGACAGGGTTTTGCGCAAGAAAGCCCCGATCGCCATTTTCGCCATCGGGGCTTTTTTGCGCAAAACACTTTTTAGCTGTCTACACTGGCCCTCTTGCGCAAAAACATTTCCGGAAAAGGGCTTTTGCCCGAACGGGAACGTAAAGCATTTGCACAAGAAGCACTGATTTCGGACAGTAGAACGTCAGTGCTTTTGCGCAAAATCAAGCGGTCAGTGTAGACAGCTGGCAAGTTTTTGCGCAAAAGCGGCTGCTTTTGTGGAAAAACTTGCCAGTCTAGACGCAGCCCAGGCTGTCTGGGTTATATGGCTCCTAAAAGAGGGCATATGGGCCAAATCCCCAGCTGGTATAAATCATTTACACTGGACTGAAGCGGCATCACTTCTGGGCTGCTTTTACTCCCTCCAAAGTGATCACCTCCCTTGTGATCTGGCCCAGCTGGGCTGGAGACGGTGCAGGGCTTATTGTGGTGGAGGGGTTGAGCTAAATAAACTCTTGCCAAGCTGGAGAGATTTTCCAGCTCCCAGAACGTGTCTCCAAGGAGCTGGGTGAGGCCTGTAGGCAGCAGAGTGCCGAAGGGAGCACACCTGGTTGGGGCTTGCTGCTAACCCGCTGGGGTTTCGTACATGCTGCCATCTTTCCCCACTGGATTTGGGCCCAGTTTCAGACAGTGAAACAGCAGTTGGGTCTGGAAGGGAACGGAATCTGCCTGGGAGAAAGAAGGCTTTTTCTCCCCCCCCACCAAGTTCTTGCTTGTTCTGCTTCCCAGGAATGCTCTGCGCTTGGCTGAGGAAAGGCTGCACAATCTTGTTTTGATTCCAGTGGTGACGTTCAATCTGACCAAGAAAAAAAAAAAACTTGTTGTGCAGCCAACGCACCGGCCCCCTCCCCTGTGCCGGAGCAGTCGGCACGTAGCCGTTCCACGTCAGCTGCTTCTGGGGAGCAGAGATAAGGGGAGAGGTGTCCGCCTAAGTTTAGATTAAAAGTCAGTCCAGTGCCTGGGTGTTCCCGCGGTGGCTCGGCTCCGACCTGAGGGAAGTCACGCAGATGCCCAGGCTGGTGCACAGCCTAGACCCAAAGGGCTTCTCCTAAACACCCCCCCCACACACACACACACACACTACCCCCTGCAGGGCTGTAGGTCCAGCTGGCAGGAGCTGGAGGGGCCTAGCCCCATCTTCAGGCTCCTGCCAGTGCCACACAAGCCCCTGTTTACACCCTGGGGCCGGGCCTGGCGCCTGACATCACTGTGCATAGCTCCGGAGCTTGTAAAGAGGCACCAGAAAACCTGGAGTCCGGGCAACTGGCCTCTATTCCCACTGGGACCCTGGGCCCGCTGGGGGATGCGGGGCAAGTCACTTGCCCCCCGCCGTGCCTCAGTTTCCCCGACTGTAAAAGGGGCCCCTACAGCGCTCCGGCTCCCCAGGG